AAAGCAAAATCATACAAAAAAAAAAAACACTGCCAGCCAGTGTTTCTGAATAAACTTACAGACGTAAAACGTGAAAACAACATGACATAGGTTGCAGTGACAAAAACCAAGCACTATAAGAATTGTATGTCAGTGAGGCTATGATAACGCTGGGCAATTGTATTGTTGCAGTTATGTAAGCAATGACCAACAAAAACCGGCCGCAGGCCAACGCAACAGGACAACAGGACAAAGCTGACACTGACTCTCATATTTTGTGCTTGTTGGGCCAAGTCCAATGGACTCTGAATAAATAACATGCACGAGCCGACGTGACAAAAACACAAGCAAAATTCTCAAAACAAAGCGAAAAAGGGGCACCAACTGGGAAATATTAGAAAAGGGTATATTTTAGAAACATACATACCCGTATACATTAAAAGTGTGTCTATATGTCATTATATGTGTAGGCATTGTATGTAAAGTGAAGGGAAATACATAAGTGGTGTGCCCTTGGGGTGCTGAGTTGACGACAGAACCACTCAAGCGGAGCGTGCAGCTGAGAGTGAAAGGCTAATACGGACTTTTCAAAGTTATGTGCAACGTATACACACGCACACACTTCTGTGTGTTTGCAACCACTAAACATGTAAATTAAGGCGTTTATACACGTGCATGCATAAGTAACAAACTGTAAAATTTTGTGTGAAAACAGGTGTGAGCGACGCGGGTGTGCGAAGGCACCGACCAGCAACGACACAATGATGAAGCAATAAAGCAACAGATCACAAGAGTGCAACAAATTACAACCGGTGTAACCTTAATACGTATGATTTCCGAGTAGAATTGTGTGGGTATTAAAAAAATAAAATAATATAAAAGCAGAGACAACACCTAAGCGCACTTATTCACCTGTGTGTAGTGAAATATTACCGTTAAACAAAGCAAAACCAAATGCCTAATCGTGTGTTTATAAATGCGGGCAGTCCATCAAAGTGGGAACACATCAGATCAATGGGCGTGATGCAGTGAGGTGGAACAGAAGTGTGTCTGGCTCTGCGCTGTGATGAGTTAGCAGAAACGTGAGGCGATTTGCACGTGCTAACTTGGCAGCACACTTCAGCCTGATTATGTATCCATTTGATATTATAAACATGATTTTGTATTTGTATTTGTGCGCCGCGTGTGCATGAACACGCTTGTCTTCAGGATTTTATGCGAAGAGAAGTGCGCTCGCCTATATAAGTAGGCGTGTCAGTTGTGGCATAAACTGCCAGGTAATTGCGTAGGCGAACTGGCAATGACTACATATTAATTTGCATGCTAAATTAAGCTTGAAGTGTTGCTAATGATCTTAAAAGGGCCGTGCTGATAAATTGTATGCAAAAACGAAAGCAGCAGGTGGTAATAATGAGTGAAAGTCTTAAATAAGCACACAAAATATAAGTGTACATACTTGTACTTATAATAGATAAAGGAAATTATTAGTATTTTGTGTAATATTTTTATAGCCTGGAAATACTTTTAGAGAGAATGCGAGTACTTTGCAGTACCACTTTAAATATCTGAATAACTTACAGTTCATTTAAGCTGCTTTTACAATTTTTTTTTATCTTTCGATAGATTATACTTTTAAATATAAGATACAAAAATTTCATCGATATCTGAAATAGTTTTTGAGTTGCGGCCATTTCAAAAAGTAGCCGGTTGGCAGTTAGATAGCAATCACTTTATCTTTAAAGGCGTTTTTTAGAAACAGCATTTTTCGAATTTGCTGCAGTGATTACTCGGAGACAAATAATCCGATCGCTATCAATTTTTCTTTTTCATCTTCTCTATATAGTTCTCCATACGATGACCCTTCAGTTTTTAGATATAATCAATTTTGGCAGGCCAAAAACGACCAGTATTTTGGGTGAAATTTGACTTTTTTCTTCAACATGCCGCCATTTTGTAAAGTTTTGATTTGTTTATTAGCCCGAGGGTCATCGTACAGACAATATTTTTTAGGTTAACGAGAATTATTTTTTTTTAGGTTTTATCAACAGAGAAGGCTGCAATCAAGGCAGCAGATCTTTTTTTTGGCGCCGCCGGAGATCGCTTGTTATTTCAAAAATATTTAATATTTTCTTTCAAAAAATTTTTGTGTACTCTTAAAACATGTATAAATGTACTTTCTAAATTTTAAAACGATTGGTTGACTAATTTTTTTTTTTATCCCAAAAAATGATTTTTGTTTACGCTGTCACACCAGGTGTGCCCCTTAAATTTTGTAGACCAATTTGATCATATAAACTTTTTGTAAAAATTTACCTTTCGTTTATTAATAAACGAATAAATTGAACGTATATTGGAAAGCTGAGAAAACATCGTTAACATTAGGTGTGTATAATGAAATGTTTAAAGACAGTTTTTTCAAGCGTTGAAATTTTGAAAATTCATAACTTAAAATCTTTCATGTTGAGCCGAAAAAATATGTGTTTTTTACAATTTTGGTGTTTTATAACAAATAAAAAATTTCATTAAGCAAAAATGAAATTGGTGAACTAAAACTAATAAAGTGCATATAGTAATTAAACAAAGTAAATTAAATAATACATAATTCAAAACAAAATCAAAAATATATATATAAGTACATATATTACTTGAAAAAATTAATAATGCTAATATAATAATACAACAAATGAAACAGAAAACCGTGTTAAGAACTACCACCCGTAAAAATTGTAAAAAAAAATTCTATACTCTTTTAGTGTGAATAAAATTTGATACGAAAAGTGCTGTGAGTTCTTGGTTGTGAAAGTAGGTATATTTGGTAACTAAAAAAAATTGTGGAAAAATGTATAAAATTATGGTCAATTACTTAAGCTAGTTTGACTAAAACTGCGTCAAGTCTAGTTAATGAGCCTTTTCGTGTGGTAATAACGCGAATATATAGTCGATATGTTATCAAAATTTTAATTGGGCAGGCAACCAAACTTTGAGCATAGACAACTGAGTGACCACTCGGTATTTTTTATGCAATAAAAACCTTAAACAGTGCTGCTTACCAGTCTAAACTGCGTTTTCAATAAGTCCAGGAAGTAGTAGTTACTAGAAGACTCCAAATAATGGCAAGCAGATCGAAAAGGCTACACTAATAGTGGTATGGTATATGAAGGCTCAAATTAAGTTTAGGGCCCACAGTAAGTCTCAAATCAATAAAGTTAAGAACTTGTTATAATAATTAGTCCGTGTTATATTAGGAGAGGGAAAACACAAATTGTACATTTTTTGAGCTTAAATGGTAAATCATTTTTATCACACAAGGCAACGAAACTGTTTAAGACACCTTTTATTTGTTGAAATTAAAATGTGTACTGAAAACATATAAGTATCCGAAACTCTATCAGTTATGTAGGTTTGTCGAAACATTGGAGAACATTAGCATACGGATGTTACATACTATATATATACTGATTTTAGCATAGTTTTCGATAAGAAAAATCTCTCGACTCTCGTACATAAGTTTGATCTTCTTGGCTTTTAAACAAGAATTATTCAATCTGTATTTTCTTATCCTTATAATATTATAGAACACAGCAAGTGATATTTGTAGATACTCTTTCAGTTTCAATTAATGTCTCTTCAAATGTTTCACGAGGTAGTCTTTTTGGCCCGTTTCTGTTTCCGTTCTTGTTATTTATAAATATTATCTCTTAAGTCATATAATTCTAAAATTTTTTATAATATGCCGACAGCGTAAGGCTTTTTGAATTATATACTTCAATTGACGAAAATAAAAATAAAAATAATAATAAATGTGGTAACAATGAATGTGATTTTAATATAAAAGAAATAGATTACTGTACAATATTCTTTTTCAAAGTGATTTTTTAGTAAACACGTAGAAAGCTTAAAAGGTTTTAAAACTAATAAAGGAAATATCTTATGTCGATTTAGTAATTACAATTTTATTTCATTTCTTTCCGAGAACTATTACTTTAATTTTGTTATTGTTATTATTTTTTCTTTATATTTATTATTTGTACAGACTGCTCTGATATCTCCAACAGAGTTCCCTGAAAAGCCAATTACAAATAATATAATACTTATTTTCATCAGCTTATAGGCGCTACAATACCACCAACATCACATTCCGAATTAATCCAGATCCAATCTAAGCTGCTTTTCTATTAAATATAAAAGAAGCAACAATAAAAAATAACAATAAGCTTTTATACTAACAAAAACACCCGTGTAATAACAAAAAGAGCGTAAACGAAGTTTAATTCGACAAAAAAGCACAACTTTACAGATTAGCACCTCACAACCGCTCATTATATGCCGGATCAGAATCAGCGCCACACTGGCAGGATGACCAATTAGCTTTATTGTTGGTTTAGCGATACATTTTTTTCAAGTGGAATGTGATACACGAAAGAAAGTTAAAAGATACAAAAGCGTGAAAATGTGTGTGCGCTGAGAAACACACACATACGACATACTGAAGTGTTTGCTGTAAAATGTTATAAAAAGTAATTAACAAAATCACAAGTGCTGTGCTCAGTAACAACAACATGGAGAAAAAGTCAAACAATACGCTGTGTTGTTAGTAAAAACCGACAAAAGATAGTGAAACAAAAAAGTGTAATGTGAAAACCAATTGAAAAGTTTTGTGCAAAAAATTAGATAACTAAAAAATGCAAAATACCTCGTGTAAAAAATAACGTTAACAGTAGTGAGACCGTTATTTACACTTCTGCATAAAAGTGTGTATACATGCAAGCAACGTATTTTGCAACTTTGTACGGCAACGTCATCAAGAAGCTACAAAAAATAACAACAAACAGTACGTGCCAGCATAAGCACTGCCGCTGTAAGGCTGAAAGGCAACTGTGCGACTGCTTCTGTCCTCAGTTTATGTGTGAGTGCGTGCCAAGTAAGGCGCTTGTGCATGTTAGCCCAGCGCATTTGTGTGTGTTGGTGCAGTGTATGTGAAGCGAAAAGTGCAGGAGCAGTGCAGTGAATGTGCATTCAAAATGCTTAAAGGATTAAAAGTTTTCACATTTTTATGGCTGACGCATGCGGCGAGCACTTGGCTGAATTTCACCGGCGTTCAAGCACAACCGTCATCATTAACCGAGAAAATCCCATTAGGTGAGTCGAATGAGTGCACGTTGCGCTTTCTGTGAAAGCCTGTGCAATGTAGTTCAGTATGTTTATGTCTTGTACGAAAACTTAAAATAAATGCCAAATTAAGCTTCCCAACATAATGGCGTTGTGGAAAATTTTGGAAAAAAAGTAAAAAGTTTTAAATGCCACTTTTTATATTTTTTATTATTTTTTCACAACAACACAAAAGCTTCATATGAAAATACTTATAATAAGATTTCACAAATCTCCCCATAACTCAAAACAAAATACTCGTATTAGGTTGTCAAAAAGTCTTTCGCTAGTTGGCGCTGAGAGCGCGTAGTTCTAGTTTTATGCGTCGCATCGGGTCATGCTATACCTTTTTGGAAAGCTCATTTCAGGTGCTAACACGTGTTTGATTGATTTTCGTTTCTTTTGAGTTGTTCGAGAGTTATAGTTTCCACGTTTTCGTTCTGGTGTAGAGGTGGTCGAAGATGCGTCACGCTCCAGAAGGCCTGTCGTCGAAAATTGCGATAAAATCGCTGAATTGGAAAGATACCGGCATAGTAGCAGCCATAGCATCGGTCAAGATCTGGACATGAGCCATCCTATAATTATTGGTCATTTTTGTCAATAAAATAAAGTTTATTTCGTGCAGGGTATACAAAATGCGACAGTCGGAAAAGTTGGTTTCTCGCTCATTCATTTTACTTTGGTTTTTCTCTTATACATGCGACACTTCGCTGCCACACACATTTTAAAGATAGTGATGGAGTGAACAGAGAAGTGCAGCTCGCTTCTCTCATATGCAGTTGACAACATACATAGTATATGTAGTATGTACATATATTATTGTGTTGGTCTTTCCTCCGTGCAATTTTAAATTTTTATACCCACGTAGCATGTGGCACAGTGTATAATAGCTTTCTTTCATTTAACGGTTATTGGTAATACTTAACACTACTGGTCTTATGTAAGGGGTTAGGTGGGTTTGAAAATTATGGACCGCTTTAGTTCGAATTGTGTACACATCTTTAAAATAACAATATCTACTTATTGATATTTTTCTGTTTGATTCATTACAACTTTTTTTTTTTTTTAACAAATAAATGGTGAAATTTTTCCAAAAAATGAGATTTTTGAAAATGAAAATTTTTACATTTTCTTATTTCCTTCGTTCCAAAACGAGATTTTTATATAACGTTATAATTCTTTTTTTTTTTTTTTTTTTAATTTTAAATAAACCAATAATAAGGTATTCTGTCCACGGCGAGAGCAGTTTTTTTGTGGAACAATCAGGGAGATGAGTTCTCAACGGCTAAATTTTCAATATTTTTAAATCAAAATTTCAGGAGACATTGCTCAAATGTGTATCAAAAGTATTATATTTTTAAATATGTGATTATTTGTGTTAAAAAACATCTTAAAAATATATTTTTTTGTACTTCTGTAACCCACCTAAAACGTTAAATATAACTGATTTGGATGGCAAAACGTAACGAATTCCAAATATCCGTGCATTCGTCTACCTGTCTGTCTATGAAAATATTAAACTCAACAATGAATCACGTTTTAATATTTGGCTTATTATAAGTTATATAAAAAAAAAACTTCAAATTCTCTTCAAGCTTATTTAAGACATAAATGGTCAAAAAGGGAGATCAGATGGATTTTAAATTGTTTAACCGATTTAAATAGAATTTACTCTTCTCCTACTTTTTTAAGCCATAACTTGAATGCACATAAAGCCAGACTACAACAATGTATGATATTTTAATGAACTAGATTGGAATGTTTATGGAGCATAATAAATTCATAAAATACATTAAAACAGTCCAAGCCCATTTTATATATTCAATACAATGCCCTTTTGAATTTTTCGACTCTATAACATATAATACAATTATATCATTTAGACAGCGAAATATATAAATAAAATAAAGTGAATAAGATTTTATGCCAGAAATGGGGGAATAGCTTTCTATACTAGAAGCTTTTTATGCTCAATGGAATAAATATCAAGTTATGGCTAAGCTTACTCGGAAAATTTCTGTTAATGGGAGAGATATGTATTTCAGCAAAATCATTTTAGAAAACTACAGTTTGCAAAATGTGGTTGATTGCCAAAAAATAATGAAACAACTTCGCAATACCCTTATTTCCCTTACACCCAACACAGATATTTTCAAACCTTCGTTTATTTTATAACTCCCATGACTTTCAGAGTGTGACACATTGTCAACATTAAAGGAAAATACTGCGATTTGGCACAGTAATTAATGGATATCGCTCAAAATTCGATCAGAAAGGATATGACCAATATACTAATTTCTGTAATATCTACTAGCGTTAAAGTAGTTGTTTCAGCATTCATATAAGAACATTTTAATAGAGCTAAATATTTAAGATTACACCTTTAGTTCTTTTAGATTGCGAAAGTACCTACTGTTTGGCTGTGTCCGAACTTAGCATATCCTTACTTGTTTTGTAGATGCTTCTTTAGATCGTGTTGTTTTTGGTTTCTCGTTTTCCTTTTCATTTATTTCCTATTTTTATGAGCTTACGTCGAGCTATTGAAGCATTTGATGTGCATGTAATATTGTATATATATGTATATATAAGTACGTACACATAAGTAGCTTACCTTTATGTCATGTATTTTCCAGTTCATAATTTATTAAATAGTAAGCTAGCACTAAGATCTATTTCTGTGGTATTTACCGAAGACCAAGTCAAACGTTTGTAAGAAACAATAACTATTTAAGCCGTTTACGCATTTTACTTTCCAATATAAGCCACTATACTTTTTTGTGAGCATTAATATGTTTTTTATATAGTTAGTAAGAAAATTTTGGGTATTTGATAGAGTTCTTCAACGGAACGATTGTAATAATAAATATATTTATAAATTTCATTCTCCACAAACTTTAGCTAATTATTATTAGGAATGAGGTTCCCAAATAAAAAAAATATATACAACATAGTAAAAAATATAGGTAATATCAATATAATTAAATGAACCATCTCGTATAGCTTATCTTTGTACGAACTAATTCGGATAAATGTTATTTGAAAAGAAGGTACTGTCCTTAATTATTATGCCAAATATGAGCGTGATCTGTTAACCAGCGTTTTACAGCAGTTGCTTGGGTCGGTACACCTTAATAATGCGTTGGGATACCGAATCGAACAAAGAACTTGTCTCAAAGTTGGTATTTTTAACCGAATTTCGTGTGTGGAATCGTTGCGAATGTTGGAAAAGGCTTACGGTGATTCAAAACCTCAAGCCTAAGATACAAAAGTACAAAGCCCTCAAACATGGTAGAGAGATCATTGAAGGTATGCCTCGTTCTGGACAAGGTTTTACTTCTTCAACTAATGAAAATTAAAAAAATGGTACTTGAAAATCGTCCGGTAAGTGAAAAGAGAGCTCGAGATCTCTCGCGAGTCCGTTCGAATGATTTTGGTGGATATTTTGGGTATTAAACACGTTCTTACTCGACCGGCCAAAAACGCAATGAATACCATTGGTCAATCACCGTATTTACCAGATTTTGCTCTGTGTGATTTTTTCTTGTTCCCTAAACTGAAATTGCAGCTCCGTCGATTCCCTTTTCAATCAACCAGGCAACTAGCGATAAAACAAAAATCACTAAAGAAAAAGTTCTTAAGTGTTTTATATCTGGTGGGGATAACTTTGAAGGCGGCAAAATCAATATTCACGGATAATTAAATATTTATGTAGAATCCCTCTTGTGTACGTAAAAAAAGGCTAGTCCTTTAGTTGCTCTTAAGGAGTAATGTAATGTTTATTTTATAGTTTTAGTAATTCTAATATTTTACAACTTAGCCTTTCCGTTTTTGACAATTTTATGTTTAGTTCAATATTTTTCGTCTTAATGTGCTCTTTCTAGCGTATTATATAGATAAATAGTTGTTTACGATGTTATATGTAATAAATTAAGACTTTAATGTTCTCAATTTTCTCAAATAGTCAACTCTTCTATATATAGGATAGATACTTAAAAAAATTTGAGAAACTCGACTAATAATTGTTAAGCGATAAGTTGATAATTCCTACAGAGGGGCTCATAGAACTTTAGACGAGAATATTTCAAAACAATATCCTACTTAAGGGGTTTCATGGGTTTCCTCGGGTAAAACACAGCCTTTTTTCAACAACTCTTTTCTTATATAAAAAATTAACAATTTTACTTTAATTTTTTTATTGTTACAAACGTACACTTTTTTAATAAATAATTCTGAAATTGTTGGAAAAAATTATTATCACCTCGGATATTTCCGGCGACCCCTCGGAAAAAAGATGCACCTGGATTGGCAGGATAACTCATTACAGGATCATCTAAAGTGAATAAAAAATAAGTATTTTAGTTAAAACCTTAGAACTTGGACGAAGAAAAAATACTGAAAATTGGATTTTTGGCAGATATTTTTACAACAAAATGAAAATTTCGCTGTTTTTTTATAGTTGTAATCGAACTTTCATTCAAGTCTTTAAAAAATAGTACAACTTTTAATTCTTTTACCTAGCCAAAGTGACTTCAATTTACTTATTTAAGATTTGGGAATTTCTCAAAGACTATGCGTACTAACCAAATTTGTGTCAATGTTTAGCTAATCGACCAGGAACTTTCTGGTTTTGTGTAACCTGTAAGACCGCATCAGAAACGCTCTCAAGTGAAAATACAAATTACCATGGCATCGGGTGGGAACCTTTGCAGTTTTGAGCACGCGGTGTCGTGTTTAAAAATAGGACAGTGCACAAACGAATACACTTTGGTAACACTAATGGCATTCTACTCTCTCAGCATTTACAACCGTAGGCACAAATATACACAGAAGCCGCTAACAATGTATGCTACTCCGAGTTTATTCACATTAGCCAAATACACATATACGATAGATACAGTGAAAGTGCTTTCATATATTTCAATATATACGCGTATATGTTTATATTATACATATGTATATGCCGACTCTGCCTTTTTCTGCCACAGTGCAAC